TTCTCGCACTTGCTACTGGATAACCTCCATATCTTCGACAGAGAATAGGTATGGCGATCAATGCCCAGTGCGCGCTGTCCTCGGTAACGATGCGATGCTTCGCAACGGTGTTTTGGCGCACCTACGACGATGTCGCGAAGCAGTCGCTGTATTCGGCGATGAGTTCATTCAGCTGCCGTCGTTTTGGGCCCGGAAGCTTACGGTTAATGTCGAGCTGCGCTGGTGAAGTACAGTCTTGCTGAGGCGGCGATTATTCTTCAGCAATCGCGGCGATTTCGACGGAGTTTCGGAGTTCCTCGACGTAGCCCACAGCTGCACCTTTAGTGAGATGTTGCGTTTCTTGCCAGAAATTCGTCACAAGGACCACAGTGCGCCCATCCTGAAGTTCAGCTACTCCTCTTGCGACGCCCATTCCTCTACCCAGGAGCAATCGAAGGTCACCTTCCAGAAGAACTTCGCCGTAGGAAGCTGCCTCGGTCATGACGTGTGCAGCAACACTTGATCGCGGCGGTAAGTTCACGTGGTCGGCATGACTCGGATGGCGGCAGACGTCGCTCTGGGTTCCTCCGGTTTGGGAACAGGTTTTCGTAGCGTTACTCGGTATGCTCCGAGGTCGATGACTGCGCCATACTCGCACAGAAACTCCATTCCGAAGATAACGTCTCTCGCACAGTCTTGCAGAACGACAAACTTCACAGGGTGAGTCTCACCTTGGAGCTCGACGCGAGCAATGCATCTCCCGACTGGTGTGATGAGGTGCCCACCGTCAGTTCGTATTTGAGGGCCTTTCCACGGCGTTGTCACTTTTCACAGGCGGCGAAAGAGCCTCTTAGTCAAGACTGGGAGTCTGCTCCGATGTCCACTAGTGCCAATGCGTCGTGAACCCGTCGATAATAACGTTTAGGTTGTTGTGCACCGTTGCCGGGGCGTCGTTGCGATGAGCAGCGGCAGGATAGTGGGTGCGCTCCGTCGTTCTTGAAGACTCTTTACTTCGGTCGCCTTCGACAACGCCACCTCCAGGTATTGCCGCACTTAGTTTTCCCGCCGAGATTGGAGAACAGGCTGTCGCGCCGGGAGCGGCGGAAGGGCGGAATCGAGGCGAAAGCGACGGGAACCTCGTTGTAAGGTCGGCACTGAGGACAGAGGTCGTCGAAGGCACTCCTGAATGTCCCTTGGTCGCCTCCATAAGCCGGGGTGGCGGGACGCTCGGCGCAAAACCTCGCAGACCCATTTGTCGGTGTGGGCATCTCCGTATGATGTGGTCGACCCCGCCGCAGTGATAACTCAGCGGTCGTCGATCGCCAGTGCGCAACACATGCGCTGGTAGTTCGGTGCGGACGAGCTACTGCTGCCCTTCCCGACGTCGGAAAGTCTGCGGCGCTGGTAGGTCACGTCGAGGTGGCGTCGAATACTGCCGGGCAGCTGGCGCCGGTCTCCGAGCTACCGCGGCGTAGGTCCGAGAGGGCTTCTCGGGTGCTGTTAGCTGGCAGGAGCCTCCGATTAGAATGCCCGCTGAACGTCATCCCGGACAACTTCGGCTATCGACAGCAAAGCAGGCTGGTTGGAAGCGGGCTGAACATTTTTGATTTCCTACCGGACGACGTCCCGGATGATCTCGCGTATGTCCGAGGTGTTGCTGCTGTACGGCGAGAGGGCAGCGAAGCCGGGATCTGTGGTAGTGCCCGTGCTTGGAGGGTACGTTCACTGTTTGTGGCTTCAGTGATGAAGCCTTCGACGTAGCTACGCGGGCTGCGCACAGGGTTTCCGAAGATGTTTTCTTTCAATCGCCGCATAAGGACTAGCAGTCTTTTCTCTTCAGGAGCGTTTGGGTCGGCGCAGTTCATGAGGTGGACAACTTTTTCGACGAAACTTGTGACGCTCTCGTTTGGCCTTTGACTTCTTGCTTGGAGAAATTCTTTGGCCCTCTGACGTCGCTGCTGGCTGGCGAAGGTGCGTCAAAGCTCTGCCTGAAAGTCTTCCCACGACGAAACCCACGCTTTGTGGTTTTCAAATCAGGTGCGTGCTGAAAAAGTTTGCAACTTTTTTTTATAGTAACACTGTTTCTCAAGAAAACCAACAGGAATTTCACTGTGGTATTTTAACATTGACGCAGTTAATAGAAACACATGGCGATTTCTCTTGCCCTTCAAATGAATGACGATAAATTTATTTGGTTAAATTATGCTTAATGAATTCCCTTTATCGTATATCTCTCAATGGACTCGTACACTAATTGCATACGGGGTCAATTAAGGTCTATGTTAACTTGATTCGAGCATTCGTAAGTAACAAACCAGAGTTTCTGAGTATCGTTGGAAGTATTTCAGCTACTGCGGGGATTTCGTCAGAAGTCCCTCAGAGGTCAATCTTGGGCAATGTCTTGTTTTTGTTATATTACATCGGCGACGATCTAAGTTCCGATGATACAGAGATAATTTTCGCAAATGACATATTGCTATACACTGAACTAGAAAGCCTTCTAAATCAGGATCACTTGAATTTGTCTATTTACTCTGTAAAAGGGTGATATGAGAGATGGAAAATGAGAATAAACGCTGACAAAACCACGTGCGGCGAAATCCACAACCAAAGAAACAAACACACTACCCTAGGCATATAAAATTGGGAGTGACCTTGTAGCATCAGCTGACCGCTTTAAGCACTGGGGACAATGCCAGCGCATTTACCGTGAAAACGATCCACAATTTGTGCAATACGGCAAGGCAATTGTTATGATTCTTAAAGCGAAATTTAAAGCACTCCACGAGTCAGGTCAAGATAAAACCTTACACAACCCTTATGAGACCAACTCGTGTGTATGCTTGCAGGGTATGGGACCCGGGTCGGCCGTACCATAAAAACCAAATGGATATATTGGAAACAATTCAGGGACAGGCTGCTCGTTTTATCCTATATTCCCATAGTCGAATGGACTCGGTCATATGTATGCTTGAACAGCTCAAGCTCCCACCCCTGTATATAGGCGACAAATTAGACAAGCTCAAGTTTCTCTTCTTACTTTCACGGAACTCCCTCAAATCGTACACTTCCAGTTTCCTACATCTATGTATTACAAGGGGTCTAAGGAATGTGCAGAACGAGGTTTTTCAAATTTCGCAAATTAATAACAATGCCTAGAAGTACTCTCCTTTTTTAAAACAACAAAAACTCGGAACAGGCTTCCTGGTATTGTTGAAAATCGTGATACAATAGAATCATTTAAAAAAAAAGTCTAGTAAAATTCATTTTTAAATTATCGGTTTTCTAGTTAATGTAATTGTTTTAGTAACATAATTTCCCCCCTTTTGTTGTATTTGTCTGTGGCGTGATGTGGGCCAGTGCGGTTGTATTTTATGGTTTCTTTTGGTTTTTACTTCCTTCCCTTATGCGCCAATTGGTTGCACAGTATTAATAAAGAAAATGATTTCCCGATGAGACACAATCCGCCACGCCCATTCCTGCTTCAAGCGTTTCGCTCACAGCCTAACAAACAACAGCAACATCAATTCACTATTTTCCGAAACCACCGGATTTGGGAAGTTTGGGAGTGATCTGCGCGTTACCGCAATACGAGCGAGGGTTTCCCTTCAAAAGGAATGCGTACGTAGTAAGTACGTGCATCGATTCGCCGCCGTTTGATGTAAGTCTATCTTGCTAGAACAGCGCGAGGATTGTACGCAAACTGCGCATGATTCGTAGAGAAACGCGCTGTAGTGCTAGCCGTCGAACGTCCCGTGTATAGCTGTCCGTCGTGAAGTGTTCCGGGCAGATCTTCGAGCTGGGTTTCGGAGTGTACGGACTTCTGAAAACGATATAACGAATGACGTCGACTCACCTTCCGCGAATTCATGTTTTTGGGGGAATAATGAAAACGTACGTCCCGGGTTGCGTAGCGTGTTCGGCATTGCACTGCGATATGCCACTGACTCGGGGTTCTTCCACTTCGGCACCATGACGCCCTTGAGCGAGCAGGGACTCAATCATCTTCGTAGGTGATTGCTGAGGTGCACTGATAAATTAAGGCCATTAAAACGTAACATAACAAAAAGTAATCGCCCACTCGGACTGCTGAAAACGCAGCAGAAGGATACGCAGAAAGAAATGGCAGTGCGAACAGGAAGCGTCTTTGGGTACGAACAAGTAACCTTCTTGGGTGCGAACATCACGTAGGGGCACAATGTTGCTCGACAAACAGCCAACCCGCTGAATGCCCACTCAGAAGCTAATATCAGTTTCAGAGTAGATCGCGCTTTGTTGGTTACTGTAATAGTTTGACACCTTTTTAAGCATTTATTAATGTTTAGACAGCACATGGTATGGAACTTATCTTTAAACTAAACAGGTAATTGCGCAATTTACCAATTCATTATACACTGTACAGCCTTTGTGGACGTCACGTCGGGGTAAGAATGATCGCCATAGGCAACTGTGGAGATGTTCAGTTCTTAGCGTTGCAACTACTCGGCGGAATCGCGGTATTATCAGGGAAAATCGAACTGGTTTTCTTACATATCCTAAGATTAACGGAATGAAAGCAACACGCTGGCGATTTTCGCAGGGTTCAAGTTGTTTCACAGCCCCTCACACCAAATTAAAAGAAAGCGAAGGACCTTCTAAGTAGAGAGAGGCAATAGCGAAAATTGAAATAATAATTGTGAATAGGTAACTCTACAACGTTCATTCCAAATTGGTTTCTGGTTTTTATTTTGTTTATCTGTATCACATTGTTTGTAGTGGCTTCATTTTTTATCGCTTTCCTTCTACCTCACTAATTGAAACACAAACTTTAGAGAGATATTCAAAGGGAAGGTACGGCTTTTTTTTTTTGGTAAATACCAAACCCGATTGGTGGGAATGTAACGAGAATAAGCCAGGAAATAAGATTGCTGTCAAGAAGCTTTATTTTTCTGATCAAGTTTTTATTCAATCTAACCATCTGAGCGTTCCATTCTGCGCTCAAGGCTCCATGCGTGAGCAGGATATGAATTTGACTGAAGAAATCAGTTTCCTCGCACGCATTTATATCTGTTTCGCTTATCCTTTTTACATCGCAGACCTGAAAATAAGTGGATGATTTCATTACTGTGATTATAAATTTAGTGCGTCTTATAAAAAACGAATAGAAATTAAAATAGTTGTCACGAAGTTTAGTTAATAGCCAAATGTTTAGACTTATGGCCGTGCATTCTAGTCTGGAACAAATTTATTGCTTTGGGTGTGAATTAATTCTAAACCTTTACTCGACTTACACTTACTTTCTTTCACCTTTGCAAGGTACTGCTCTCTAATAAACCCATGCGTATTATGACCCTAATTAATTGAACCGACGAAATTTGATGAGTTTGGATTATATAGTTTTTTTTCAATATGGTATTTCTAATATAATAGTTCACTTTCGACTTAAATTATTTCTTCGAAGCCTAACAGCAGCGGCGAACGCTAAGAGAAGGACATTTAGCAGAACGTTGGCTTCCCTCTGTTTCTTCTGCTAAGGAACGTCGCTACACTGTTAGCAAGTCCCGTGTATTTGGTGAATATTTGGGGTGAAAAACACGCTATTTACACAAATTACCATAAATTTACACGTTGAGTAACGGATAATTCGTTCAAAAATCATGCGAGGTTGTAAAAAACGTGTTTTCGTTCGGTCATACACGCATAACCGTGTAGCCGACCTCGAAAACACGCACCACCGCCGGCGACGACCGCAGCATTGCCGGCTACCGAAGCACCGGAACGCTTGGGGACACACCTAGAAAGGACCGTGGAGTCAAATTCCGCGGAAAGGAACATGTCTCGGAGACAGATATGCACCAAAAGCAATTACGCCATGTCGCGAGACGGGGCGAACCCCGCGCTTTCCGTGCGTGCTGGCTGCCATTGTTTGTGGTCGACAATGGCAATGCGGCTTCCCTTATGTCGCCCTTGTTTGTATTTATATTAGGGGTCTTGATAATTGTTTCTCACACACCAAAAATAAAGTTAGGCGTATAATTACTCGTTCTAAACAGTTACAATGGCTATAAAAAGCGTGCCCTTGATCTGAACACGCGACATTGCAGTTGGTTTCGTTTTGGCTTCAACCCTTCCAACTGCAAGCGAAGGTGCCGCCGCTTCCCATGCATCCTCCTCAGAATTTACGGCGCTCCGTGGTGTCCAGTGTTGCTGCATCTGTAGGTCATCTTTAAGTTAGAGCTGACAGAGAAAATTTGGCCACGGCGTAACGCCGATGTAAGCTGGAAGCTAGAACCGGTTTGCTTTCGTTGTTTTTTATTTGGTCGGAGAAAATCTGGCAACAACGCACGTTTAACATGGCGCCGGTATTCTTTTGGTTGGGCAAGAAGGTTGGAAGGTGCTCGGTTTGCGAGCACATGTAGCGAAGACGTGACCGGAGACGTGCCCCTGTGATGTTCCCGGACGACGGAAAGCATCATTCCCAATCGTCGTGTGTGCTTGGAAAGCGAAGGGTGTCACCGGGTCCACGAGTGCGCAACCACAAGCCAAGGGTCACGACAGCGCTGCGTTTACTTCGGCGATCTCGTTCTGTTTGGTGAAACGCGGCGATGCGACAAAGAGCTGAAGTGTCCGTGGTGTGTGGTGCGGTGCTTGGAGGTAGAAAGCCACACTGGCCACACTAACACGGAGCGCGAATTGGTTGCTGTGGGTTTAGTCCGTCGTAATCAGCTGATCCGGTCCAGCTGGTCCGGGAGGACGCAGCGAGCGTTTTTAAAAGTAAATCTTCCCTCGTTCTGTTTCAAAATGTGGAAGTATACCGACGCATACCGTGAGTAAAAAGCTGTGGGCGTTTTCAACAAAATTACGTCGTTTTAATTGAACAATGGACTCCGGATTGTTGTCCTAGATCTGCCGTTTTTATGCTTCGTGTTGGACTGCGTTTGCACAGCGACGCACACAGCTCGAGTAGATGACTCGGTCCTGCAAACGACCGGTAACAGAATTTCAGGGAAACTTAAGTCACCACTGATATTTTCCTTTAAATCTCGTGCGAGTTTGTTGCGCTCATCATGCGGTGTGAATAAATTGGGGCAAGATTTCCTACCTGCCCACAGATGCATGAACTGAGACCATTTTTTGCGAGGTGAACATAGTGCTTTTTCTTTGTTTTGGAAAGGCGCTGGTGCATTTACTATGGTACAATCACTTGAGAGTTGAGCAATTGGAGAGAGCGAGCAAGCTTTCCGCTTTCCCAACTTTGTCTGTTTTCTATGGCACTGCCCTGTTTCAGTTTCAGTAGGCATATCTAAAAGCGGGTACAAACTGCTCTAAAGCAGGTAAAAAACAGAAGAAGCTTAGGACGGTGCGGACTCCGTGTTTCGCGCTTTTCGTAAGGTGAATGGGTAAATGCTTTTGCGAGGTATGCGGAGTATGCAAGCGATTTTGTTATGCCTGTCGTTTGCGTCTCTCCAGTAAAACGAATAAGATGATCTACAAAGGCGCAATCACAAGCCAAGATTTACGATAGCAGTGCGTTTGCTTCGGTGGTCCGTGTAGTTGTATTTTACTCTGCTCTCTACAACACCGTGCCATGACGAAGAGCTGGAACGGTCACGGTTTGTGCTGGCCTCCCCGTTGACAGAAACCCGCATCGCCCGCGTCGGCACCGAGTGCGCTTGGGCTGTTGATGCTCACAAGCCACGAATGCTTTCATCCGTGGCTTGTCGCCAGCTGATCCTGCTGCTAAACGGTGAGGAAGCGGCGAGAGTGACCTCTGAAGTGAATGTAGATCCTCGTTCATTCAGTTATCCGGTGTCAAAGTGTGGAAGATGTCCAACGTGTACTGAGGGCGGGAACTACGAGCGTTTTGCCTTGCTTTTATAACCGGAACCAGAGCAACGAGATAACTGCCTTGCGTACTTAAAAATGACGGAAGCAAAACGTTTCAACAGGTCGAATACGTCACCGGGGATGTAGGCGAGACGGTGTACACTGTTTAAACGCTTGCAGTATCCACGAGTGGTACCAGGAAAGCGACGTCAGCAGAGAAGGAGCTCGCCATTCAGCATAATGCAGTGCTACGGGCCCGTGTATATTCAAAGTTCGGAATGGTAACAGCGTGGCAGTGTAAAAAAAAAAAAAAAAAGACGCATTAGCGCTTTACACCAGTGATCACGAATAACACCGGCCACGAACTCCCGAGCCCCACCGCTCCACTCAACACCGACACGACAGACGACAACAAACTGCATCAACACGACCCAAAAGTGAAGGCGTCTGCTCCTGTACTGCAACTAGCGGAAGTGAAGTGTTGAGCACATGTCCTTCACGAGAATATATAAAAAAATGCTTTGCGCAAGCATAATTTCCGTTTATTATTAATTATATAATGATAAAATCTTAATAATTAAAAAAAAATCTGATTCAAGCTAGTCGGACTGCTCATAACACTGGTCTAGCATAAAAATAACAAAAATTTGAATTTCTTCATGACCGGTTTAGGATTTATTGTCAATACATCGTTATCTTTCGGAACGGACTAACATTATAGATTTTGCCTCCATACTTTATAAATGCAAAGAGTTCTTACATACGGCTGTCCATTGCGCCGTGTTTTGTGTCTTCTTCTATAAATCTGTAACGGTCAGCGACTAAATAGCTCACCCGCACATGCCAAGCTTATATACGCCGCGGAGAAAAGAGCATGTTAATTAGGAAGTGTCGGGCGCAGTGTCGGGTGTTGTGTTTGTGTATATGTCGGTGATGTGTAATGCGTGGTATTGGTGTTGTGCGTGATGTATGTAGGGGTTGTGTCTACCTGTGATCGGTCGTAGGCTCGTAGCATATTAACAAATTTTTTTTTATAGACTGCTAGAAATCCCGCTAGGTGGCGGAAGTTACCGCCCGATTTCAAATAGTTTGCTCGAGTTATTTGTCCATTTAAGTTCGCTTTTCTGTCTAGCTTGTCTAGCGGCTCGATCGTAGCTACCGACGCCGCCGACCGCCGACGACGCACGTACGTACGTATTTTTGCGCGTAGCTACGTCCGCCGCTTGGAGACTGTTTAGTGTGTATAAAAGACATCGAAGGAGAACAAACGCCGTCCTGTGTGCTTTCAATTCAGCCGAAAGGCGCGCGGCTTGCTGGGCTCGTCCCTCGCCTGTTCTCGGCTGCTGGCCGCCATGTTTTATGAGCACGCTCAGCCAACACGCTGAACCGTGCTTAGCGGAAGAAAAACACGGTGTATCGTGTTAAGTTTACACAGCACCTCATGTGTAGACGAAAAACACAGATGGCTGCGTGTAAAACGAACACGTTTCGACGTGTCCGCTATGGGACAACGGTTTACACGTCTGGGCGTGTTATTTTTGCTAACAGTGTAAGTAACTTATCTAAGTCACTTCGTAAAGCTCCCACTGCCGCCCTAAGGTTTCGGAAGGCTTCTTTATAAGTTATTGTTACAGATCTGTCCCTATTTTTTTTCTCCATTTGGACGTCTGTATGAGTAGATGGTAATGAAACGTTTCTCAAATGTTTCGTATTCGTCGTGGCGAAACCATCGTATATATGCTGCACAACATTAGGAAAACCCTCTTACAATGCCGCACGTACTGTTGAGCTGTTCAACATTAAATAACAATCATCAATTACAAAATGTCTTTCATCGCCGAAAGATGGACGAAAACAACAATGTTCCCAATTTAACAACGCATAAAAAAAAAGAAAAAAATAAAACTATTATTACGAGAAATGACGTTATTCCTAGAGCCGGCAACAAGGTCCCCTGAATCCTAGTCGTTCAGAAAAAAAGAAGCAAAAATCACCTCGGCTGCACGGACAGTGACCGAAATAGATGTCACCCTCAGTTGGAGCCACCGAACACTCTTCTCCACGTTGCCCCAGAGGCTTGCAAATGCCTGAATAACTGGAACCTGATCGTGATTGTAAACAGCACGTGCCATGTTTACATTTGTAATCCTCGTCGCACGATTGACACACATCTACTGGAGGTGGAACAGTGGCCGGGGTAAGCAATGCCTCCAGTACCTGCAAAATTTAAAATAATAAAAAAAAACGATTACAGGGAGATTCATGTTTAAAATTTTCCCTGACAAAGTTATATGGCAGACGGGTTCTTGGTACACTTTCCTCTTGAGGCTTCAGAATGCGCAGTAATATGGTTCATGTTCAAGTGAGCAGCGGTAGGAGTAACGCGTTACAGGTGTCGATGCTGCTAGTAACGCGTTATTTTTTCATCAGTGACGTACCAGCTTAATCGTTAGAGCCCGAATCGACTAACGAATAAAGTTACCCGCTACGTTTCACTTTTGAGAGAAATCGTTCTCGTTTTTGGTGCCTTTAAAGTGTCAACGCACAATCAGGACCATGCTCAATTCTACAAATTTGATTGACAAAGAATAAAAATACGTGACATCGCCCTTTGAAGGAGTAATTGTTGTCAGAGCTCGCGACTCCTTGTCGCTGCAAAATGCTTAGATCTAAAGTAACGCAAAGACAACGTTACTTGGCGTTCAAAAGCAACGGTAATAGTACTTTGTTAGATTTTGCAGGAATGTAAAAAATGATCTAACGTGTTCATTTTTGATAAACTAACAGATATCTATACTTCGTTACCTATATTGTAATAGGCACAGCACAACCACCACACAATGACTCACGATGTCGTTGTGTTGTCGTTGTTGCTTATAAATAAACAAGAATAAAGACGACGACAACGAAAATGACGACGACTACGACGGCAACAACTACAACAATAAAAGATTTCTTAATGTCGAACGCGTTGGTAATGGTTGTAATAGCGTATCTACATTTAACAGATTCATTGTGATGAGACACACTCCAATGCGTTGGGTACCGACGAAGTGTCGTGAACATGTGTGCATTAACGAAGTTTGAATGCCTTAGAGTAATAAACACCGGCGTTTTGTCCATCGACAAGATGACTTAATTAGTATGTTTGGTACCATGAAAAATAGTCTGGAAAGTCACTTGTTCCCACGGCTGCACATTTGTAGCCACTGGGGGCCGATCAGTAACCAACGCAGTTACCAACAACGCGTTTATTCGACCTGTCTCCGAAAAGGTTTACTATTTGCCACTTTATAGGGTTCATACAACTTCAAAAGACAACCGCAGTTGACTCGTATCTTTGCAAAACAGCACCGGACAAGCCAAGACAATTTCAAGCATCAAGAGTGTTCGACATTAAAATTACATAAATTAAGCAATGTCAGAAGGCGTATAAAAAGTCAACAATATGCATAAAGGTGCACGGGGATACAACAGGGATGATGTTTCTTCACATACTCATGAAAACAAGAGAAATAAAACCTTACTTCACATTCGGGGGTGACATCTGCCAGCAGTGCGGGCACGATGACGGCCAAAGCAAGCGCTAAACAAAATGTCTTCATGGCTGGGCTTTTGCGCCTTAATCTGCAGTCACACTTTAACCTGGAACCAATTAATCCCTGCCTCTTTTTATACGAAGAGGAACTGGAGAAGAGGAGGAGCCGTGAGCGTCCAGTGACTTCGAAGCGCCAAGCTCTGATTGGAAGGATCTTTGGATGCAAATGCTGTCGACCTTTGCCCAAATGCCAGGCTTTGCGCGAGAGGCTTAAGACGCCCCTTTTCGCATTGCTTGGTCGGAGGAAGGAGAGTAGTATGTAGAGAAAAATACAGCTAGTCTTTGCACCCACCAATTAATCCTTCGTATTAGCGCTCGGCGCTATGACGTGACCGCACGTTCTCATCTCCTCCTCCTCTTCGGTTTCTCTCTGTATAGAAACAGCCTCTCCTCTCTCTTTCTCCACAGCAGATATTAAAATGGAATGTTACCTTTTCGTATAACACAAGGAAGTTCCCTTTTCGCGCGTCAAAAAAAGAAGGAAGAAATATCATCGTTTTGTTTTTAGCATAGGATGCATTTTGTTTCGCGACATTTAAATGCAACCGTGAATGATGTTCTTATAATGAAGTTCAATATAGACAGGGTATGGTTGTCACTGTCAAAATTTGGTAAAATATGCTTCTTAAACTTCGAAGCTTCAAGCAATATAATAGCGGCGGTTGGTGAGGGTCACATGACTGTCACAATTTCTGTAAAAAAATATTTCGTAGAGTGACACTACAGATATTGAAGAGGTTGTCTTTTACAGCAATAACGTACACAAAAGCTGGATTGGGTGAATTGTTGTGGCTAAAGCGAAATACTTTGTCAGAGTTGCCTGCGCGCCGTCTAATTTCTCCGAACAGAGCACATGTGTACGAAGTATGGGAAGAACGTTTACTTCCCCAATATAAAATAACGCGTTATCATAAAAGAGAACAATATGCGCTAGATTAGTGATCTTCGTAGTCTGCGTATTGGAATTTCTCTCGCGCACTCTTTCGCAATGCGGATGCAAGCTTTTCTGAAGCAGTGCTTCGCCGCCAGCCTTCGAGCCCTAGTCCATCATAGGGTGAGGCGAAGTACAGATGGCATACATTGAGTTTTACGAGGAACCGAACTTGTTTGTTTATTTATATGATAATATTACTACCCCAATACAGGCGCATATGAGGAGAGGGGTACAGATACTATAATAAACTTTAAGAAATTACACATGCCAACAGGCGGCCAGCTGTAGTCCGGAGAGGCAAAGATTTCAGTGCGCGCTGCGTCTCCATCTTAATCTTTCTGCTTTTGGTAACACTTTTTCGCACGCGCAGCTAAAGTCAGGTAAAAGCCAACAGGTTCGTGCTGGAGGAGGAGCTTCCACTCATATCTCAGGCTGTCACCGACTAAAGACGCTTTACAGGAGGTGTGCATAGGCGCCGCCATAACCGAAATTCGATATTTGTTTCATCTGTATAATTATTTGTGCTCTGCAGCGCGGAAGCATTACAGCAGGGGAGTGGGTTACAGATCACATTTATACATTGAAAATTTACACATACTGCACAAGCCAGCAACCAACAATATTAAAAAAAGCATAATTCAAAACAACACACACTAATAAAATTTCAAAATTTCAATAGCGCCAAAAATACTAACAAAGAATTTCACATTGCCCTGATAATGCTAATAAAAGATGCACTGTCAGGTAGCACAATACCCGGCGGAAGCTTATTCCATTCCGGTATAGTTCTCGGAAAAAAAAATCATATAGTTAGTTCGAAATTTTATTTCGCGTATTATTGTTTTCAAGATCCCTCCTGCTCGATATATATTGGGGAATTTGAAGGTAATTTGATTGGTTGATTTTAGTTAAATCATTATTTATAGTGTAAATAAATCGAAGTCTATTTTCGACGCCTTTTTGCAAGAGATTCGATACCCATTGAATCTTTCATCACTGTCACACTTTCTGCTCGAGAATAGTTATTTGCAATAAATCAAACAGCACGATTTTGAATGCCCTCTATCTCATCTATGATATATTTTTGATGCGAGTCCCATACTCCGCTTGCATATTCGAGGTGTTATCGAACTTGTGAACGATACGCAAATTCTTTTTTAAGATTTGAGGAGCATTAGGAAGGTTGCGGATAACTGGGCTAACGACCCTGTCAGCCTTTTTCACGATCATATCTATGTGTCGATTGAATGAGAGGTCTTCAGAAACAATGACACCGAACATTTAGTTTCGGATGCTTTTCGGAACCAGTCTCTTCCAAAGCGTACCCTGAATCAATATTTTGTTTCTTTTTACTAAATGTGGTGTGGAAGCTTTTACTTGTTTTTAACCCCAGCTCCCAGGTTTTGCACCACAAACTAACCCGTTTGAGATCCTTCTGCAAAAACGACACGTCATTGGCATTCTTTATTGCTCCGTTAATTACGCAATCGTCCGCGAATAATTTGATGTTAGAGGACATGAAAGACGCACAATTTTTTATGTAGATTAAAAATGAAAGTGGTCCCAAAACTGAACCTTGAGGTACCCCCGAAGTTGCGTCTACAAATTTGGATTTCTTAACCCTCAGGACATTGCACTGTTTCCTGCCACTCAGATAGTCTTCTATTTACCGAAGTACATCACTGTCCATGTTTAAAGCACACATTTTGCACAATAACAATTGGTGTGAAACATAATAAAATGCTTTACGGAAATCTTTAAAAATTTCACCAATTTGCTGCAATTAATTGGGTGTTGTAGGAGACTCCTCTACGAAAACCGTGTTGGTTAGGACAAACAAACTATTACTTTCTAAATGTTTAATTATATTGCCATAGACAATATGTTCAAATATTTTACATATTATACAACTTAACGAAATTACGTTCACTTCTCTTCGTAATGATCACAATTGGGATTATAGATTTTACTTTGTCATCCTCCGCAGCATTGGCCTTTGTGACAGCTCGTGAGCGCCCGCTTCAGTGACTCGGAATCAGGGTAAGACAAGGGAGAGTAAGCATTGGCGGTGGTAATCTGGCGACTATTCCAAGAGTCTACAGTTTAGAACACCCTCGAGAGAACTTGAATTTGTGATAATCGGAACTAAGTTATTCCTGCTCGTATATGGTTTGAGGGCAAACAAATTTAAAACGATGAATAAGAAGCTGAAAGTTATTTGTTTTTGAATGTGAAGCTCCAGGGTTGGCTCTGGTGGAGAAGCCTGACTGGTAATTGGTGTTAAAGGGATACGGAATCGAAACTTGAAATATAGAGAAAACATCAAGAAATGAGTTCAATATGATCAGCTAAGCCTGTAATGAATAATCGCACGGTCGTATTTTGAGCAGATGGCTATATTTTATGCTCTAAATGCCGCGATTTTGGCGAGCGCTTCAAAATCAGCCATGGAGGAGCGCGATGCATCTCGGGAGATCCGGCAGACGTCTTGACGTCATCATGCCTCGGACGACCAAGCGTACCGTAGTGACGAGTTTTGCCACTTGGAGGCGTCAACGCGTTACAATCTCACTTTGTCGAAGTACCCAAGGGCTGTAGATATCGCGGGGCCAGCAGAGGCAGCAGAGGCGCGGAGGGGCGGAGGTGTCAGAGCTGCTTCAACTGCCTTGAGTGTGCGATGGCGTGTCTACATGACGAGAGTGGTGGCAGCGGCAGTGGGTACGATGACATTAGCGAAGACGAAGACGTCAACAGATCGCTAGTGGCTATGGTGGGGGAAAAGCGATTCGGCTTAGAGCCATATCTGTACGATCCTTCGGCATCGTCGTCCGCAACAGACGAGGAGTCGTCCGACTCTCCGGAAACGCCAGGCTGGCCAGGCAGCCCACATCCACCAGCAGCCCGGCGCGTCGGCACGGCGAATTGGTGAGCCTAGGGTGCCTTCATGTGCGCTTTGCTTAGGGTGGAGACATCTGGCCATTTTGTCTCACACTTTTATTTTTACTTTTTGTTCAGAAGCGCGTGAAAGAACGTGTCCCTGCACGCGCTCGTGGCGCTGACTGTGCTCCGGCGACATTTTGTTTTCGTCGATTTCTTTGTATTTTACCCGTGAGCGAGTGCTGTCGGCATCGGGTACCACAAAGGGTGGCATCACCCTAAACAGAAGGACATTGAGGCACACTAGGTGAGCCTAGTCACAGAAGAGTCCGCGAATGCATTCGCGCGCGCACGTGTAATAAAGCAGCGAGACGATTTAATGACAGCGCGCTAGCCGCGCTGTCATGAATGATGAAAGTACGCTGTCTGAACCAGGTCGTTGTATTAGCGTGTAACTTCTGTTGGTAAGCTTGCGAAACGTGGTTTTGTCGAAGGAGCGCTCGCGTTAACAAAGATCAGTAGCTAAAGTACGCTTGCAACGGCGGCTATCCAAAAGTGTACGTACGCACGAACACGGCAATGAATGTGCCGCGAAACGCTTTTATGGAAGGACTGAAAGATGTATAAAAACGCAAGTTTCGAACCAAAAAGCGCGTGTGGCCTTCGAAAGAGCTTTCCCCGCGCGTGGGCTGGAAAGTGCAGGCAACATCTTTAGCGAAATAATTTGTTGGCCTAGTTGGGTAAACATCACAAAAATAAAAAAGCGCGAAAGACAAGGAGAAGTGGAAGACTAGACAGGACAAACCCTTGTCCTGTGTAGTCTTCCACTTGTCCTCGTCTTTCGCACTTTTTATTTTCGTGATGTAGCAACCATAGAGTTATTACAGTAAACGCTAGAGGCTCAGCTGGCGCTAGTTTCTATGGGACTTCCGGTTGCAAATTGAAGCAGACAGCATGCAGTCTACTTTTCCAGTCTTCCTGTGTATTCCTATGGGAAAACGCGCGTGAATTTTGTCTCGTCGCCGGAAAATAACATTAATAACTTTTGTTATTTCGGCTGTACCGGATAGTATGTACCTTTATTAATATTGTGAAAGTGTAATTGCTTTAGTTACAGCATTTTTCCTTTACCACTGAACGATGTTAAACTTCGCTATATTTCCGGCCCAAACCTCTTGTTTCATGGCAGTTATGTA